TGTGCCGGTCATCTCATTGGGTTGAAAGCTGTCAATGGCTATCACCTAAATGAAATTTAAAATGGACAAAATGAAACAGGAATACTCAAATACCTACCACACACACATTTAGGTTTTTTTCAGTGATGGCTTTTTTTTTATCCTGTAATTGTTTAATGGGGAAGACATTCACTATTATCTTTGGCTATTTTGTCTTTCATGGACTGTGGCAGATGCGATTATTATTTTCATTTTATTTATATTATTAGGATAGCTTTGTATAGCTTGTTGTTTGCCCAAACAATTATAAAATAAAAAATAAAATAAATATAACAACTACACCAATACTTTTTAAAAATTAATCAGAAACAGTGCAGCTCATGAGGGAATATAGCTTAGACAATTGTCTGGGGGTGATGTCTAGGGGGTGTCCTAAAACCATATTTAATCTATAGTACATCACTTGTATATTGATACTGAAATTGTATTTTTTTGACTAATCTTCATAAATGGCAGAGCAAACATAACATCACCTTACCTGCAATTCATAACTTGTATCACCAGCCTCATAATCCAAAGATCTCACGGTAAAGATCTGTCCGGTGGATTGAAATATTGAGAAGGTGGAGCTTGGTGGATTAATGTAGTACCGGAGAGAGGGTGTACCGTACTGTGGTGATCTATCGCCATCGGTAGCTACAACCTGGAATATGCTCTGACCAGGAGGTATGTTCTCGGGAATTGTGAAGGAATATGATGATTGGTTGAACACTGGGGCATTGTCGTTCGTATCCTAAAAAAATATAATAAACAATCAGAATTATTTAAAACTAAAACTAATCAAATCTGATAAAAAACTAATAACATCAAATCAAATATTTCAGGGATTCTGTATTCAGTACATTTATTTCATTAAAAAAAAAAAAAATTTTTGTTTTAATTAGAAATATAATTGCAAGGGTCTGCTCATAAATTAATAACAGAAATAATAACTAGGTGAAAATAGCAAAATCAGGTAATAAACTATCCCGCGCCGGACACCATCCCCGTATTTTTGAATGAAGGTTTCGGGGCTTGAAAATTGAGATTGTGATTATAATGACTTAAACTACTATACAAGGTAAAAATTATCCCCCGCTGGACACAATCCCGGTATTTCTGACTTGTGGTTTCGGGGGCCATTACGAATTGAGTATTAGGCTTAACTGTTCTAATTAATGGGTATCTTGTAATTTGGCCAATAAGAAGCTGATATATATATATATTCTCTCTTCAAAATCCAGATATTTCCTTGCTCTTACCAAGACATTAATGTTAAGAGTTGCTGTGTCTGATAAACCATCAGAATCCTCAGCGATAACAGTAACTAAAATTGACCCATCCAGGACGTCATAATCTATTGGGGATGTTGTATAGATGTAACCCACGCCGGACAATGTCTCAATACGCAGACCCATGTACTCCGAGACTTTCATGGTGTCTCCATTAGGACTTGTCACTAGGAAGCTGTACACTGGTAGATTGGTGGGGTCCATATCAGAATCGGTAGCCTACAAATATCAAGATTTGTTTCAAAGTTATATGTGACTGGCTCTGGCAAATCCAGCCGTTTGTAGGAAAAATTCAAATTTGATTCTTCAGTGATTTTACTTTCTACATGAATTCTTGAAAACAGTGTTTACTTGATGGAAATTGGTTGAGTATCAGCAAAGTTATGAATATTTAATTCATTGCAGATCAGTCATGAAGGTTTTGAGAAAACAGCCTTCAATTAAAGACTCAAAAATTATTTATTTGTATGTTGTTAATAATAATTACTACACTTTTCAGTTAGATTTGATGATTGAAATTTTGCAGAATTGTTCTTCAATGTATTTTCTTTTATAAAATGCAAAAACACATATACATATGGTCACATATGTGTAAAATTTTGTGTTTTTTTCAACAAAGTTTATATACACTTTTCAAAGTAGTTATTTCTTTTACATACATCAGCAAATATACTCTCCAAATTTCATGTCATCCAATACGATATTTGTATAGTGTGCCACAATCTATTTTCCTATTAAGTGTCATGTATTGTTTTGTTCCATAAAACAATAAATTATACAAATTCACTTTCATAAATAATACTTTTATAAACGTTATAAACATTAAAATTACTGTCTAAAAATATACCTCAAGAGTCCAGAGCGGGTTACCAGGCCCATAATTCTCATTCTCAAAAGTGTTCAAATCGTAGCGATCACGCGGGAATTGTGGCGCATTATCATTGACATTCTCAACATTTACTATTACTTGCACAGTTGCTGTTCTTGGTGGATTTCTATTATCTGAAGCTAGTACGGTAAAGATATGTTGAGTTGAGTCCTCATAATTCAATTCCTGGGTTGTCGTTATATTTCCACTAACAGCGTCAATTGTAAAACTGTAAGATAGTCAGCAGAGAAAAATTCAAAATATCCTAAATAAGCAGAAAAGCATACACCATGCTTTATTATCCACTGCTGGAAATTATGTTGCTCTCTTACAATAAGTAATACTTAATCTCGAAAGCTCTGATAAGGACAGTATAATATAGCCAGTAGAGCTAACAAAGCTCTATTAATCCATCAAATACTGTAAAACCAGGAAATTTCGCGCGCATAAAACTTTCGTGAATCTAGGCCATTCGCGAAAATTTTATGCCGCGAATAATTTTCAGGTCACATTTTCTATGTTTCAAAAAAGATCGGTAGAGTACTATCTGATAATCGTGAATGTCGAATCAGTTTCAGAAATGAGATTATGATCATTATAAATCACTGAATTATACCAAAAATTAATTTCAACTTTTTTAAAGATGATAATGAACAATAAACAGCAAGAATTGCCAGTATTTTAAGGCCTAAACTCGCCGACGATGATGCAATGCAGATCTAAGGCCTAGGCCTAAATGGGGAATCCCCACAACTTGCAACATGTTTGTGAAGAGTTAACAAATTCAGCATTTTAAAAATTGTATTTTTAATTATTTTGGTGAATTTTATTAAATGTGTATAAACTTAATAGAATGTATTTCAATTATTGAATCAATATTCTGACCTTAAATTCTGATGTTGAGCTCGAAAAATTCGTAAATTCTAGGCCTATCCTAACCTACTCAGTAAATATACTGATCAGGGAGGTTTTGATCATCACTGCATGTGATTGCACATGTGCAACCACTCTGCTGTGTATACAGTACTAAGAAGTTAAAATAGAAACTAATTTTTCGTACACCATGACATACCACGATGTTCAGTTATCATCAAACAATGTGTAAGAATATAATTTGTTAATAAAACACACGTTTTGATATTAAAACATTGTTGATTGTAGGATGATTGAATACCATACAAAATGTAGGAATATTGTATGTACGAGTGAGTACTGTATGTGTGTAAACTAGTCTCTTTCTGAACTGTGCTGGATGGCCATCTAAGTCCTGGTCCTCCAGCTGAGGGCTGCAGGCTTAAGACGCCTAGCCTAGGCCTAGCTTAGCCTAGACAGCTGGCTGTAGGCCTATCTAACCTAGGCCTAGAACTCACGAAACGATATTTTCAGCTATTGTATGGTATTTCTCTCATGAATAAAATTTAGGCCTTTTGCGATTCGCGAAAGTGTAATGTCGCGAAAACGGCCTAAATTATCAATTCGTAAAAGTTTTGTGGCGCGAAATTTTCTGGTTTTACAGTATTAATCAATCAGCTGAGTGTTTCTAGAGCTCCTCATAAGGGCAGTATAATAGAGGCAGTAGATCCAAAAAAGATCAATTAATCAATCAATCAGCCTCATGAGGGCAGTATAATAGAGGCAGTAGAGCTAAAAAAGATCTATTAATCAATCAGCCGAGTGTTTCTAGAGCTCCTCATTAATTTTTCTTTCTGTGATATCAGTAGATCTTTTTTGTGTCTTTCTTCTCTCACCAGTGCAATATTATTTTTAATTCAAATCTATTAATTTAGTCAATATTAAACATGAGTTTCTTAGCTTTAATAAATAATTTATATATAAATATCTGAATTCCATACAGCTTAGTTAGTACTGTATAAGCTTTCATATATATACTTTAAAATTTTACTATTTTTTGAATATAAAAACATATAAACAAAATAACTAACCTGGGATTATTCGAAATTTCATAAGTCACTAGATCGCCATCATTATCTGTTGCTGTGACTCGCAACACCATTGCTCCCACAGTCACGTTTTCAAGTATGTTAACAAGATATGATTGTGGGGAAAAGAAAGGCGAGTTATCGTTCTCATTCATCAGATTAACAATGATTGTCGATGAGGTTTCCCTTGTTGGATCATTTGCATCTGTTGCATAAATCTAAAAAAAGAAATTTTTTGATTTTTAATCAACAAAATCAAGAATACATAACACTTGCATATTTATACAAATATTACAGCTGCAATGTTATGGAATTCTCTCCAGGGAGCTGAGTATGGGTTTCGTATGTGCTCGATCCAATGATCGGGGGTAATCATATAAGCGTTTACAACAGGCCTTGTGAACATGAAGCCCTACAAAAGTCTAAAAGATTATTATTATTATTGTTATTTATTATTTTTATTTATTATTGTTATTGTTGTTATTGTTATTATTGTTATTTTTTTTGTTTTTATTGTCATTGTTATTTGTTATTGTTATTATTACATATTCCATTTGCATCAATATCATTAATTTAAATTGGAATGTTTACCTCAACAGTGTAACTACTGCTTGTCTCATAATCCAATGTACTTGCTAAGCTTACAACAGGCGTGGACAGTCCAATACCACTGGTAGGGGCCACACTGAACAGGTTTCTGTTGGTTCCTCTTAGACTGATCAAATACGCAGAATTAATGCCCTAGAATCAAATAGAAATTCACACTTAATCTTTTTTATAAGAAAAAACAAATGTACACCAAGGAATATATTATTTGTGTACCTGGAAATCTTTGTTATTTTGAACAAGTAGTCTCGAATTAGAGAGGTCTAAGAATTAGAGGGTTCTCAAATTGGAAAGCACACTCTGGTCATGATACAGCTTCATATATCATGGGTTGATTCAAGTGGAACATTTATACTTATTCGCTATTTACTTCACAGACTGCCATTATATTATACTGTCATATTCTTTTATAAATTCCAGCTTAGAACTACATCAATATAAAACTACTATCATAATAAATATACCATTTTGTTGTAATTTGAATCATCATGTACTGTACTGTGCTTTCCGGAGAAAAATACCAATTTAAACTTACCATAAGATAGAAGGAAAAAAAAAATCGAACTAAAAGAAATGAAATTCAAATATACTTTCGCAGAGTTGACAGAAGACCAACCTACCGTATCTGTGTCGTTGATTGATATGCCTAGATTCAAAGGCGTGTTCACAGGTGAAAGTTCAGAGATAGTTTCAACATAAATTGGTGCATTAAAAACAGGGAGGTTGTCGTTCACATCAGCAACACGGATTGTAAATTCTGTGATGGCGCTAGCACCTCCTGTGGGCCCTATTTCTGTTGCCTAAAGATGTAAAAAAATTATATTCCTTTAAAGATTTGACTGAAATGTGTTCCATTTTTATTCAAACACAAGTAAACATACTGCATTGCAGGGCAATCTACAGACATTAAAACCTTCATTTGATTTGATTTGAATGAATGTATTCTTTATAATAGAAAATCTGATAGGTAATAATGTTTGATCTCAATGGTAACATACAGTAATTGAAAGTATTTTAAGCTAGTCATCAATGGTTGTTTCTTTATTGTTCATTTTATTGTTCATTACATAATTATTATTAAGAAACCAGTTTTAATTGGTATATTAGTAAAAAAATAGACAAATGTAGTTGACAGGGGTGCCAGTTGCTTTTCCCCGACACCTAGTCTATTGCTCCCCAACAACAGATGGGCTGGAGACCACACCCACCTTAGGTCCACCATGTTTAATTTTTCTATGGCTCCCCGCCACCTGTGTCAGGCCGCCTTGAGAGCTAGATCCGGGCTGCCAGGCCACCTGCCGCGCCACCCCTAGTAAAGTTTGGTTTCACTTGATTAGACTTACCCTGACCACAACTGTAAAAGCTGATGGTGCACCCGACTCCAGATCAATCATATTGGCCAAAGTCAACACTCCTGTTGATGAGTTAATGCTGAAGAACCCCTGTTCATTCCCTATATTAAAAATATCATTTTTTTAAATATGAATAATGACATTGTTATATAATAGTGGACAAAGTAATCAGAAGTGTATTAATTACTTTCATATTTGACAATGATCAATCTTTTTTATTCAGCTAATTATAAGGGACTCTATCCCTTTGGGGCCGATGCTTGCGTTGCAGTAGTCCACCCACCCAGAGACCCAGGATTAACTGCTTAACATCATATTTGAAAGATGAGGGAAATAGGGCAATGCTTCTTACATATGAATATTCACAAGAATCAGGTTTCCAAACTTGGAAAAAAGTTCTCCAAAGTAATAATATAAAACAATTATGTTGATAAAATAAAGGAAGATTAGGAATGTGTTGAGTATATTAGCCTATGATGTCAGAACAAAAAATCACTTAAAAAGGTCTATGGAATCGTCTTGTAGCACTTACCTGAAATAATGCTATACTGAATTACATTTGGATTGTCAACATCGGGATCTTCTGCACTAACTACCTGAACAACACTTCCCTAAGAAAACAAAAAGTAGGTTTGAAGAATGTGCATTATGATTGACAATGGAAGGAGATAGTCAAAGTATCACAAGTAGGCAAGCCCCATCTTTCCAATTCCCTTCAAGTTCTAGTAAATAGATTGGGAAGAATTTTACTGTCTGCTGACGTAAAAACTCCAATTGTTGATATTTTAAATGCATTAGAATGGAGTAAACTTAGTGAAAAATGGGAACAACAATTACATATAATGCTTTTTAAGTGTTTAAATGTTACCTATCACAAAAATTTATGTTTAATGACTGTCTGCACTCACATTGTACTAAAAGTCAAAGTAAAAATACTCTTATAGAACAGTCTTGGAGTAATATGCAAGGTATAAGAACTTACGTATACTGGTCTACTAAGCTCTGGAATAAACTCCCAGATGATATTAAAATAAACTATAAATCTGTAACAGTTTCAAAATTTAAAAATTCTATATCAGGTCTGTAATATCTAAAACAAATATTTCCTTGACCTTGCCTATATTTTTTTATTTAAATTTTTTTATTGTTATGTTAAACTATAATGTATATAATTATTATTATTATTTATTTTTTTTTTACCTTGTATATACTTTATAAAGTTTTGGAAATCAATGCTTTAGCACTCAACGTGTTATTCAGTAAAAAGAAAGAATAAGTAAAAATGACTGACAGTCAGAGGCATCACAATTTTTGTTTTTCTCCAAACTATCACTATTTTATATACATGTAACATTTTGTGTGAGGTATTTCTAAAGATTATTTTAATGTTGGGAGGCACAAAAATCTTTTCATCAGACCTACAAGTTAAAGTATAAAATTGTGAAAAACATTAACAAGGTGCATCTTGTACATTTCTCCTATTCTTGGTGAATCTGATTATAATCTAGTACATGAATACACTTGACTGTGAAAATACATCTACAATGGTGTAAACTAAAATTAACAAAACTTGAGCTCTTACAACTGTTGTTTCCTCATCTACTGTAGGTGAGTAGGGCAAGTTGACAAACACAGGATCAGAATCTTGAACATCTCCTACTGTAATGATCACTTCCTCCTCGCTTTCCATACGAGGTACTCCACCATCCTGAAAATTATTATACAGGCAGTAAGTGATCGTAATCAAAATGACAAAAAAAATAAAAGAAAACTGCTACAAATTAAAATCTATAGTCAATCTTTTACCTTCGGGTTTTTGACAAAATTAAACTGTAGAAAATTTCCAACAAAGGCCAAAATAATGACCTATGTCATAGTTACAAACACATGAAGTGAATAAAATTAAGTTTCTTAACCGAATCGTAAAAATGAATGTAAACCGGTGGCCTAATATTTTACTCCACTGCATGTTTCAACTCGACTGTGATTTTGATATGTTGAAATATCCTTTTTTATATTTATGTGATACATTAGATAAGTGTCATGATTTGAACTTGTTCGAACACATTTTTTGATTTTAATAATTTTACTTTTAATAACTTTTCAACTAGAACTATTGACCTCTATATTGCAGATTTTTACAAGGAAGATTGGATAAACAAGATCAGGGCTCGATTTAGTACTAGCCCGGCGTACAATGTCTAGTAAAAGCCGCTACGGGCTAGCCTCTTTACTCCTCATGTTGCCCGGTTGTCTAGTGGAGAATAATTAGCAAGAAAAACATTTTCTTTTTAAAATTTTTTTTAAAAAGCGGAACTTTCGAGACAATCCCTGCACAGGAGGTACCGCAGCCCAGAGAGTACCGTACACTCTAGCTAGCTTTCAGCTCTCCACATGCGTGAGTGTTTAATTATTAAGATGATCCCCAAGTCATTCACCAACCACTACAGGATGGCATGTTATCTTTCTCTCAATAGAAGATCGTTTGATCGTTCAATCTGGTTAATTTAGGTAGTTAGAACATTTAATTTAATGTACTACCTTATATTCATATTATTTTCTCATAATGATATTTTTAAAATGTTCAACTTTTAATAATAAGTACTTAAATGCTATAGGTAGGCTAGGCTAGCCCAGGCCCTAGGTCTTGTCTAGACCTAGGTAGCCTAAGCAAGATTTATTGCCATTGGGGGTGAGAGACTTGAGACGTAAAGATTTAACAGATGCATTGGTTTGATTGATTTCTGGGCCCTTTGTTAAATATTAGAAAGCCAAAGTTATAACTAGGGAGATGTAAAACATGCTCATCTGTCCCTGTTATAACCAGAGTCGATTTTGCAGGATGGGTGATATTTTATTTATTTATTCAACAATATTTTGAGAGGGTAGCTCAAACAGCAATGCTACGAAAATTATGAAACTGCAAATCAACCTTCAAATTTAATTGTCGCTAATAAATATTTTGAAACAAAATTTGTTCCTGTCTGTAGGCTAGTAAAATATTTTGTGGGCTAGTAAAATCTCTAGTAAACTAGCCCAGTGGGCTAGTTACCAAAAAAAGTTAGGGCAAGCCCTGAAGATACAACAAAAAACATCTCTAGAAGGTTATTCAAAATTAAAATCCAGCCCAAGCCTTGAAAAATATCTCCTAGATAAAAAAATTTTTTAGGGGCAAGTTTAAAATTTAAAGTAAGATCAAATACTCTACCCCTAGATGGCAGGACCTGTAGTGGTCTAAAGAGATATCCGGCCATTGTACCTTGTGCGAAAATGTCAGACACTTTTTATTTATTTGCAAATCATTCGAGGTTATTAGGGAGTCTGTAATATTAGATTTGAAAAAAGATCTTGAATTTTGTTCTGAGTCTGCAATATGGGAAAAATTTACCGAATCAAATATTAACGAGAAAATACAGCTTGTAACGGGGGGAGAAACCACTGATCTTAATGATGAGGTTTTTACAGCATTTGACAAGTACTGCAAAAAATATTTAAAACTTGCTTGGGAGAAACGTTCATATTTGAAACTGGTTGGATTTTACATTGTTGCTTTAAGTTACTTTTCTTTGTTCTTTGGTATTTAATAGGCCTAACTGTTAAGCCTTTTGTTTTTGTTTAATTCTAATTTTGTTTTCATTAATACTTTTGTTAAGCTTTGTGTAAATTGATTGTGCTTTCTTTAACACAAGTTTTTTTTTTTTTTTCCTATTGTATTTAATAGGCCTGTTTTTGTTTTTGATTAATCCTTTGTTTAGTTTTCATAGATACTTTTGTTAAGCCTTGTCTAAATTGATTATATTTCTTTAATAAGAGAAGAGCAATTTGTTCTCTTAGTTTAAGATTGACTGCACCACTTAATTGTGTGTTGCCACTGTTATAAAAGTGAAATGTCGAATAAATTATTATTATTATTATTATTATTAGAACACAGTTTGTTTGTTTAAATTTGGTAAAGCATTTTCTTATTAACACTGCCCACAATCATGTTCTTTTAATTTCCTATATAAGGCTTCCCATCCCAAAACCAGCATACTGTCGCTATATGTTACACTGAATAATTAGCAGAGAAATGTGATAATATTGTATACTTTAGTACAGAGAAGCTGTAATACTTTTACTTTGACAATAATAAGTCGATTCCAGTAAATGAATAAATTTTAAAGCTTATAATGTGGAGAATATGAATGTATTAAAAAGTAAATTTTCTTATGTTGGTTGCTGATACTGGTTTTGGCATGGCAAGCCCCATATAGAAACCATATATATTTTCATGTTAATTTCTGATAATTTACTCACATAGGCTCGCACTCTTAACTGATAGCTTGCGGATTCTTCAAAATTCAATGTTCCGATGAGGATAATTTCACCTGATGAAGGAGATACCTCAAACAGTTCTGATGCCTGTAAAAAACGTAAAATAATTATACAGTAAAACTCCATCAGTATAATATTGTAAAACATTCACAGTATGTTTATTACAGATGTAGACAGACTTTGAATAAAAAGCCCTGACTATCAAATTTTATGTAAAAAAACATATGACATGCCCAAATATGGTCATGATGACATCACATCATCACCATATATAGGCACATCATGACTATATATGAGCATACAACAATTTTTTGTCAAAGAAAATTTTATAGCATAGACAGAGCTTAGTGGATTCCAATACATACCTCTGCTAGTTGATAAGTTACGGCACCATTTTGGCCACTATCAAGATCTATGGCTTCCACTTCGAAAATAACACTATTGGGGGCTTGGCTTTCTTCAACAGTAGCTGTGTATGGTGTTCCGATAAAGACAGGGGCGTTGTCGTTCACATCGCCAACGAACACGGTTGAATATTCAATAACCTGGTAGTTAATAAAATATTTTTAAGATAATATTTCACTCAATATAAAAAACATAATCAAGAAGACATTTCTTGTAACTACAGTTTAAGAAATCCACAAAAAAAATATGTTTTCTTTTTGTTGCTTAACGAAAATATGAATTTTTCCAGTATCAAGAGAACAGGCTATTAAACTACAAATATATCTTTACTCTTTCCACTTTAATTGTAAAGAGTACCATTGTTTTATCACTAATATTATCCTCACCACTATTATCATAATCATGTTGCATTTATTATCAACTATGAATTTATACTTACAGTTTCCCGACCATCACTCACAGACACTGATATATTATATATGTTCACATTCTACAAGAACAATAAAAATAATTTTAATTTTATTATTGCTAATTTGTTACTATAGTAGTTTTCGCATGTATTGGAAAATCAAATGTATAGCTTTGTGTTGGAAGAAACCAAGTATCTATCTCCCTGCTCTTTGGCCGTATATTAGTTTTTCTAGGAGTGTTTCCTTTTTGTATATTTTCTTTCAAATTTTGCCACATCTGTAAAGAGGTGGACATTTTGTGCATCCCTGAAGGCGCTATGCTATATATTACTTTAAATTTAATACCTCTGAATCCAGATTTGTCCTGAGCGTAACTTCGCCTGTCACTGAGTTGACCTGAAACAACTGATTTGCCAAGTCACCAACAAGACCGTAGGTGAGTATATCCCCTTCATTATCACCTCCACGTAGAGTATATATAACAGTACCTTGAAGACACAAAGAGAATGATATATAGCAAACTTGAATGAGAGTCAAAAGAAAGAACAAATAATGACACCTACCAAGCATATTCCGGAAGTGATGTAGCAATAATTTTGTCAAGCTTTGATTGCAAAGGCATTTTTAACTCACAACGTGAACATGCTCCTCTCCTCTCTCTCCTCCAGCAATGTCACACTGGGGTACCAGTGCCAGGAATATATAGCGAGCTGCTCATCTTCCATACAAGCTATATTAAATATACTATATTTTTTTTAGTGCTAGGGACACATAGTTTACACTGCCCAACAAGAACTCAAATTCCCTTCAAGAATATAATCATCAGTGAATAAAACCTAAGAGGTGATTCAACTTACCAGGTTGGGAATCTTCAGGTATAACCACGTTGTTAAAATCTCCTCCAAATAAGAAATAAGGTGCAGTGTTTGGCTCTGAAAGATTTTTAAAAATTCATTAAACTCTATCCGTTGAATTCCAATTCTACATATATATCTTTATTATTGCTAGTTTGTTACCATAGTAAAGTTGTTAAGTTTTGTAAATGTGTCTTTTGTATGACTATTACTTTGCAATTGTTATAATGAACATTGACCTAGGTTTTTGAATAAAGTGATTATTGATGATTCCATCACTCACAAAAAACAACAGTAACCATAAAAATATGTCAATAACACACTAAACACATAGGATAATTATTTTTTATGAAGCCAATGGAGTTATGTTGTTAAATTATATTTATTACAAAATTTTTTAGGTAGAGGGACTAAACTAAAAACAATGGTTTCTTAAAGTAACCACAAAACCTCCGTCCCTACATATTTCCTTTAGTTTTAAAGACAAATATTCTTCACTGTCAATATGTCTAAATAAGTTACCTTCACAACCCACTGTCTTACAGTTGGTCAACCTGTCTCCGTCTGGGTAGCTTTCAAGGGTAAAATTTGTTGACGCTGAAACACTACGTGACAAACGTGTACACAAAAATGGAATATCTGCACAGGTCACAGTTGAAAGGTCAAGAGAAGCCATGACATTCTGGAGGGTCACAGGCACACCAGCCAGTAAACCTGTACCACTCTGTTCACTGGTCAAAGGTACCACTTGATCAATTACATTATTTTTAGTACCAAACTGGTCAAAGCTTGAGAAAAGTTCCACATTCCAGAGATTTGACCCCTGGACACTGGCACCTTGTGGGTCAGAGGTTATGAGCAAGTCAAATGTGAATGGGTGATTGGCTGATCCTTCTTTAAGGAGTCCTGATGTAGATGTATATGATGTTCCAGTGACTCCAACACCTGTTAAAATGGGGAAGACAATGGCATATGTTCGATTGTGAAAGTAAATCCCAGAAGGTTCTAAAATGGCTGACAGTTTCATAAAAAGAGTGTAGGCTATGTTATTCATTATTATAACACACCTAAATAGATCCCTATTGGTGGATTTCGTATAACATAACATTAGTTTTTTCTATTTAAATTGTCACCAATGTGCATTTTTATTTCCATCCGTGCATAAATGTAGATTTTTTTCGTAAAATATCAAATGACAATCTATGTGTGTTATAAATTAAATAATGAATGTTTTTATTCACGCAATGGAAAGAATATTCTCATTCATTGAACGGCTGACCTCGTCAAATAGTACCGTCATTCGTTATCTGTATAATACTTAATAATCTCATGTGTATTACCATCATTGTGTTGACTTACCCCTGCATGTGACCTCAATGCATGTACTAAGCTGACTTGTCTCTTCAAGCTTAAAATCAACAGACGGTGCATCTCCTCTAGCAAGCGCCATGCAAAAATAACCAACATCAGCACAAACACCGTCAAGGCTCAAGGACGCTGCGATGTTCTGGATCGTAGCAACCTCTCCAGCAGTGATCCCTGTGGCAGCTTGGATGGCATCTAGCTGAATCTGTTGAACTTGTGGCACTCCAGAGTTATCACTGCTGGTAAAGTAGCCAAAAAGTTTCCACAATCCAAGTCCTGTAACGCTGCCAGCAGCTCTGTCACTAACAATATTCAGCGCAAAGTTAATTGGTTGGGAAGATGTACGTTCAACAACTTCGAATCCACGTGGAAGACCACTAAAAATACTTGTGATCTCAACACCTTAAAAAAGTTAAGGGATTAGAAGTATGTATAAATGTGGAGTTTTAGATAAATTTGTTTGTTATCTACATAAAAGATTGCTCTCCAGTTTGGCCGATTAGCCTAAAAGACATTTGGTGCCAGTCTTGATGCTATACAAGCAGGTTTCATCGTTGTTTTGCAATTTCTACTCCATTATTAAATTATTACTTTTAAAAGTTCACTTCTCTCACTTAAAACAAGAAAACATTCATTTGATTGATCCTCAAAAACTTTAAATGGATTTTTATATTTTTAATGTGTCAGTCTTATCATAATGTATTTTTTTTTTAAAGAATGTTTAGTTATTATATATACAACAGTATTCCCCCCACCCCATCGTTTTTTAAAGCATACTGAGCTATCGAAAATGGCAGTATTCTGCCGTTGACGAGGTAGACTGAACTGTAAGAATGGCATTATTATGATAATTAATGATAAGGTAAAATTAATGAGACAAATAAAAAGTTTACATTTAGGATTAGATTTAATCTGTTGTTTATTTTTTTTTAGTAAACCTGAAGGTAGGCATATAAAAACACCTAATCCATCAAATAATACTTTATTTGTAACTTACCTAGGCAAGTGACTTCAACGCACCCAACCAATGCATCTGATGAAGGAACCCCTGTTAAGATGAAGTCAGGCGCAGGATTATCACCTTTTTGAATCTCTACACACAGGTACTGGCCCTCTATACAAACTCTGTTGCTAAAGTCAAAATCTACCATGACGTTATTAATAAGCCTAACAGTATTCGGTACAATGCTGGTTTCTGCTTGCACGCTGTCAAAAGTAATATCTTGCTCGGCATAACGGACACCACTCCCAGACGAGCTGCTACTTCCAAAGGCTCTTCCCTTCCATAGACCGGATCCACTGGCCAACGCACTTGTGGCGGTTGCTTGGAGAAATACATCAAGAAGGAATGTGTTGGTAGCAGAGCTCTGTCGAAGATAGCCAGACTCCAGGAGAACAGTGGTGCCGGATATTTCAACTCCTAAAAATAAAATATAGACCTAAGATTAGGATTAAAAATTCGAAAAGTTTACTTATAAATAATATTTTTTGAATGTTACCATTAGTTGAATTTTTACTATCCCAAGGCATATATATTTAAATATTTAACTGTTATTTTTATCAATAAGCAACATGAAATATAAATAGGCTAACATTTTAATGAGACATTTCCTGCATATATATATTTATATAAAATATATTTTGGCAAATGATTCATCACTTCTAACATACATCTTGAGTTTTACTAATTGATTGATTTAAAAGAATAGAAGGTGTTACAAGAAAAAAAAGAGAGGGCACAACTGCAATTTCAGAATATATACATTACAATTTTGGAAAATTAAACAGGTTAAAGTGGCCCATATTTTTTATGCCAGGCTCTGGGGAAAAACAACTTTTGATATGTTGTGCAACAGTTAATGCGATAGAGATTTTGGAATATTTCAAAACTGGGGAAAGAAGGTGGGAAAATGGGTGGTCATGACCTTTTTTTGTAAAAAATCATGAAAAAAAAAAATTTCCATTCGGAGCTTGACTTTAAATCCGCTCCCTCTGAATTGCCATGGATACATAAAATGCAATATATAACAGGCTATGACATAAAATTTGCATAATACAACATCAAAATCTACAATATAAGAGGATGAATAAATAACTTACCAGTATCTGTTTCACCACAGTTTGGACCCCTCCAGCCAAAAAGACATAAGCAGGAATAGCTAGCCACCTGATTTACACATGTCCCACCATTAACACATGGGTTTGGGTTACAGTTATCGATGACTATAAAACAAAGGTTGGAAGCATTCAGAAACAGCATTGAATGAACAGGTGGTGAGGCATGTAGAGGGTCGTGCATGGACTATAGGTGGGGGTGACAGGTGTGACAGATAATAATCATTACCATCATCATAATGATGATGATGATGATGATGATGATTATGACAGCATTCAACACCGGTGTTCAGTCGGGGTTCTTTATTAACTCTTTCGCTATGGCGAGCCGCTCACAGCGGCGCAGATAAAATATGCAGTTTGAGCGGAAAGCCGCTGACAGCGGCTTTATGACGTCACTGTAAACAAATGAGGATATCCTGGGGATATCCCCATGACGTTTGCATATATTATATTGAACAATCTGCATGACCTTTGACCTTATTTTGAGCCGTTGAGGGCGGCTCTCCGTCTGAATAAATATGGAATAGGAAATTACGTAGTGAAAAAGTTAAGAGTAAATGAATGTAAGCCGAGATAATCCCGCAGTTTCTTTGTTAAGTTTAAATGGGTTTTTGCTCCGGTGTCACACCGGTGTTTGTTATGGCTCGATAGTGTAAAAATGGCATAACAGAGCTTTAGGGAAGATGACTCACTCTGAGTACAGACTGGTCCAGTCCAACCTGCAGCACATGTACATGTAAATGCCTCCCCAACCTTAAAGCAGATTCCTCCATTACTGCATGGGTTACTATCACAGGCATTGTATTCTGCAAATCAATAATGTTTCCATTAAAACCAAATGGTAAAATAAAAAATCAATTTGCTTCTTTATCAATTTTCTTTTACAAAACCTAATAACATTAATCATTCACTGGATAAATGAAATGCAGAGGTTAAAAAGTAAATTTAAAATTAAAAAATTGTACCTGTACATAATCAATACTTTTTTAGTGTAAATCCAACTGACTTTGTGACCATTGTTAAATTCTAACCACATGCTACTGTGAGGTCCTGGGTTTAACTCCTGTGACAACAGGATATTTTCTCACAACAAAAAATATCTCCACTCCTAAGCCTGATTATGAAACTTACTTTATAAAGCATAACTGGCCCAGAGAGAAAGTAGTATTTTAATAAACAGGTTACCTAGTAAAAGGTAGATAACATTTAAGTTTGCTTCATTATTCTGATTTTACAATAATAATGATGATTATCTTAAAACTGGGAAACTTGCTGCTTTACCTTGACAGTTGATGCTCAAACAAGTGGTTGTGCTGCCTTCAAGAGTAAAATCAGGAATAGATGAGTCTGCCTTTTGCAGCTCAAAACAGAGGAACATTACATCATCGCAACTACTCACACCTGAAAGGTCAAAGTTGAATTCAAGCTGGCTGAAAAATGCTTGACCGCCAGCTGCTAACGAGGTAGTCGTATGTGCAGATGTGAGCGAGATCTGTTGCTCTGCAGCACGTACACCGCGGCCGTCTTCCTGGTTATTAACGTAGGCAACAATGTTCCACAGACCAGATCCTGCAATGCTTGCACCATCGCTTTTAGCATTGACAGTCAGTTCACAAGTAAAGTTGTTAGAACTGTAACCATACTGGATTGGGATTCCTCTTATGATCCTTGGAATAATCGTTGTTACAATCACACCTGGAGGCGGGGAGATATTTTATTGGACTGGTTTAAAACAATCAATCAATACTTTTAATCCAACTATTATTATTATTATTATTTCTTCTATTTGTGATGTCTGGAAATTTATATTTAGGCCAGACATTTTTTATACCTTGTTTCACGCACTTATTATTTAAAGATTAAAGAGCGGGAAAAAAATCTTGCTTTCTTAATTAGCCAATGGTTTTGCCAAGAACATCCAGATGGACAAGAAAATAAAAATAAAATGTTATTGTTGAATGTAAACAGTGTAGTAATGGGAAGGTTAAATGCATTCAATTTATATAATTAGGAAGAAATATACATCTCATATTTGGTGAATTTAAGGCAGCAGCAGGTGTAATAAAAATATACAAAAACTTTTATTTTTTTTCTAAAATTTCCATTCTTTTGTGGTGACGGGTGCGCTACTCATGAGGCAAAAGTCCCTGTTAGCAGAAATGGTCCATATAGTGAGCTGTCTGGTAGTTGAGAGTGAGCTGTCAAATGGTCCAGAGGGAGCTGTTAGCACCTCCATAAACTTAACTTAATTGGTTTTAAGAGTCCATTGGGAGTTAACTAGAGAGTCCTGGCCAGCAACATATAGCCATTGGAATGTAAACAAGATACCCATTACAATCACTCACTTCATCTCATGGGCTTCAGTGGCAATAAATAATTTAAGAACCCTTCGCTATTCAAAAAAACTGAACTAGAACATACCATTACACTCGATGGCTGTACAACTAGTCAAGACTTCACTATTGGGTAGAGGATCCAGGGTAAAGTTTGGAGAAGCATTTGATCCTTTATCCAGAGTCACACACATGTACCTAAGCTGGTCACACTTAGTGCCACCCAGATTGAATGTTGCAGTGAGTTGTTGTAGGGATGAAGAAGAGCCAGCGATGTTGCCTACACTAGCCTGCTGCTCCGTCAGGGGTACATTCGACACACTGTAACGTTGACCACTTCCATCACTAGAGGAACTTGCAAATGACTGGACCTCCCATAATCTATTGCCACTGACACTACCACCTGTCAAACTAGTTGTGAAGAAACTAGAGAAGTCAACTGAATGACTTAATCTCCTTTCTATAAACACTCCACCAGCATCGATGCTGAAGTATGTTCTTGTAATCTGTACACCTAACATAAAAAAAAGATGATTAAAAACAGTTTAAAGTCATAACACACACTTTGTTATTACTTATTATTTGTATTATTGTAAAATGAAAGGGTGAACATTATTTTAAGTAAGGAGTACTCAACATAAAGACGATTGATACCTATACAAGGAACTGGAACACAGGCTGTGAGGATAGATTCATCTGGAATTCCAGTGAATGTGAAGTCTGGAAAAGCAGTATCGCCTTTTTCAACCTGAACACAGAAGTATGGTACTTGGGGACAGATAATCTGATTCAGGTTGAAAGTTCCCTGTAGATTGTTGAAGACTGACAGTATTCCTGCATTGACTGGTGTATTCCTGTGACCTGGCGTTTGAGTTGCTGTTGTACTTGATATACGAGGACTACCAAAACCATTAGAGGATGCACTTCCAAACATAGTGAACTTCCAAAGATTAGAGCCACGAACACTTCCAGCCTCAGCAACTGACTCCAACTCCAGATTGAACTGAATTGGTTGAGAGGACACTCCTTCTAGAAGCTCAGAGGTTAGGAGACTCAGATGGACCCCAGTTATTTCAACACCTGAAAGCAGATAAAACATACTAAAATTCCTGTCTAAAGAAAATAATCATAATTCAAAATGAAAATATCACCTGTATCCAGGGATATATCCAGAATTTTTTCTGGGTGGGTCGTGATCATAATTTTGTTGATCTTTTCAGTGGGAGACAGGAAAATTGATTACAGCGCCACCAGCTTGAAGCGGATGGCAGGCTCAGTTTCAGAATTGCCAGAATTGAGATAGATTATGTCACGTAATTGGCAAGGTCTTTGGACTCAATACTGGTACATCATCAATGCTTTTTCATTTATGTCATTGTAAAAAGGCCCTAGAAAAAAATGTCTTTGGAAAAAATGTGAACCTTTGAAAATTTTTGGGAGGGGGTTGTATGACCTTCCCGCCCCCCACCCACCCTTGCATACACCTATGCTTACCTCTGCAACCAACGTCAGCGCAATGATTGAGGGCAGTCAAATCTGGAAATCCCACAAGATCATAATCAACAGATGATGCTGTCCCTTTCCTTACATTCACACACAGATATCTGTACTCCGAACATGTTATAACGCCAAGAGATGTTGAAACCGCAACACTATTAAAGCTGGCAACATTGGGAGGAATCCAAGCTGTGCTAGCCTGTAAGGGTGTAAGCAAGGCTGAGCCAGAACCAATGATGCTGCCACTGCCATCGTTCTGATTGCTGTAGTAGAATTCAAATCTCCATAGATCTGTGCCAGTCAACTGGAAGGAGGATGCCGCAGGGGTGAGGTTGATGTTGACGGTGAATAAAGGTTGGGAGGTGCCTTCTGTAACTGGGTCTCCACTGAGGATTACTAGATCTGTATCTGTGATAATCACTAGACCTAAACAATGTATAATGTAAAAAATCATTATTGAGTGTGTTATCACTAATGAGTAAGTTGAATATTTTTAAAGGATATATAAACACACAAAATAAATCTAGTTGTACAGTATTGTTCAACTAAACGAATCTCATAATTTTAATATCAAATTTCAATAAATCAGATAAAAAAATAAAGATTTACAGACAATTAAAATTTAATACAACTAATTCTAACATTTGCTGGCAGAAATTAAAGTGTAGGCCTAGATAGATTATAGGATTGGTATTGCAAAATATATTAAAATGTTTGTTATTCTGACAAGGATTTTCTTTTGTAATTTGAAGGCTAAACGACTTATTATTAAAGTACAATTTCCATAATTATTCATTGTATTGTAGGCCCTAGTATATCATAATTAAATGTTATTTACATGACAGTGGCCTATCAACCTGATGACAATCGGCAAATAATACAGGTGGCTGGGTAGTACTAATGTGCTTGACAGCTTTTTGCACTTTGTTAAACGAATAATAAGAAAGAAAAATGAGTAGAAAGAAAATGAACTGAAGAAGGGAAGGAATAAGAAAGAATGAAGTAATAGAAATTAAATGCAAGGCTAAAAAGGGATAGAACTAAAAAGAAAGAGGAGTACAAGATATAGCAATAAAAGCTAGAAACAAGTACAGAATAGAGATAAATGGAAAAGTAAGTATATAATTGCAATTACTGTAAATATTTTGTCAGTAAATATATTTATTTATAACTGCAACTTTAACTTTATTATTCAATTTTTTCACTTGGTAATTTCAAAATTTCGCCTCTGTGTATTGGATTTTTTTTTAAATATTCAATATAAAAACATAAATATTAGTAAATCCTTTTTCTTTTTGTCAAGAGTCACTGCGCCTCGGAATAGTTTGCTAGAAAGACGGCGCAATATAAATGCTGTTTATTATTATTATTATTACTATTGTTACATCAGTCTTAAACCAATTTCTAATTCATTAACCTATTAAAACAAATTTCTGTAGGCCTATATAAATAGAAAAATACATGACTGATTAAATGTTTTTTTTTTCTCTTTTTTGGTTACACAAGTCACTGTAAAAAGGGAAAGAAATCCACACACAAAAAAAAATCTTACCTCTGTCACACAAGTCACCTGTCCATCCTAGTACGCATGTGCAAGAATATTCTGTCAGCGATATTGCATCACAGGTGGCTTCATTCAAACATGGATTCGGAACACAGGGGTCGATAGCTTTGGAAAGAAAATATTCCAGTTAGCCTAGGCCTAAGTTAGGTAATACAGTACTCTATGCACTTCTATGGAAAGATTGATTACATTAATTCTTTAGAGTTTTTTATAGTTCTAGTTCTAGTGTAGGCCTATGCCTAATTAGTGTAGGACTAGCCTAGGCCTAGTTTGCATTTTTACAGACAAAGGGTCTAGGCCTAGGCTAGCCTAGCCTGCCTAGGCCTAGCTAGCCTTCTTACTAAGGCCTAGTAATACTACTTTATCACAGCCTACGGTAGCTGCTTATAGAGAATCTCTCTCCAATTACTTGGTCAAGATGGTTCTGAAAATTTGACTACAGTTTAAGTTTAAAGTTAATTATGTTATAGTGATTTTTTCAGCACACTCTACGAAAGTTGCAGCTAAAGTTCGCGTACAGTATGAAACTAAAGAGGGCGACATACAAATTAGTAGGCATATAATAAAACTGTTGTGTACCTCGACAGTGCAAACAAGGTTTTAGTACAATTGATTCTCTCTTTTTAAAACATAAGAACCGGTTAATTTTTGACATTTTATTAAGTGTCTTCACTCAACCCATCCAGCAGTAGTTCTGAATAATTTTATCCCCTTTCCCCAACCCCTTAAGCCTGCTCACCCGGCCCAGCTACCCAACTTTATACTTCACATTTCTCTAGTTTATAAGGTAGGGCCTATATTATTATGATATCAGCAAACATACCTATTGAACAATTGGCAATATTATCGATATATTCAACCTCAAGTAGAGGCTAAGTTTTTTTTTCTTTTTCGGTTACGTTCCAATTTATGTAGGTATATATATATAT